TCATCATTCCCATAATCCTTCGTCGTGGTCAGATCTTAAATAAGTGGTATCATCAATATTATTATCCGAAGATGGGATACCATTGGAAAATGGAGGTAGCTCGTCAAAATGATCGTATTCTTTTTCATCTGTTATATTATCAACACTGAGTATACATCGTTTACCATGCAAGACAATGTGTCATCCTGAATCCTTCGGATCCTCAACAAAGAATACTTGGGTGGCTTGTTTAGCTAAAATGAATGGCTAAGATGCACAACCATTTGTTGAAAGGTCGACAAAAGTGAAACCGTCATTGTCAACTTTAACACCTCGTTGGTTATCAACCAATTTGCCCTTGAACATGGGCACAATGACGAAATATGACCAATTTGCAGTTGAACATGGGTACAATGACGGAATCATATTTCAATTCCCAAATTTCTTGAATGACACCATAGTAAGAGTCTTTGGCGATCCTGCACCTTGCCTCGTGAATAGCCCCAAGGAATTCCATTGTAAAGGCTATTAGCCTCACTCCACTATTTTGAAATGTACTTTTACCATCTTGTCGATTGGTGTAACATGTGTACAAATTTGATATCGTAACCTTGGTACGTTGTCACAAGATTTTGCAGACCATTCCCTAAACTCACTACTACTTCATCCATACTTTCTGCGTCATAACTTTCTTTCACTTTATTTTTCAGCCATTTTGCAAAGGTTTTGTTATGCTCGTTAGTCAACCACCTTCCGCTCTTATTTTTGTGCTTCATTTCTAGCGTTCTTTTGTGCTCATTTATGTATGGAGCAATAATTGGCATGTGTTGTAACTCTGTAAAATGTGCAAGATGAAATTCCTCACGATCACAAACGAGCATTTTCAATCCATTTGTCACGGTCCCTACAAGTCTAACTGCATATCGAGATCTCGGAATGCCAATATTCTTGACACCTGGAAGATAGTCTATACAAAATTCAGTCGCCTCTTCTGAAGCATATCTTTCAATAATACTACCCTCTAGTCGATGTTGTTTCCTTACATACTGTCACAACTAGCATTTTGGCTAGGAAATTCCGTCCTCAGGTAAGCAAGGACTATTGTGAGACTTATGCTAACACATTTAAGTGTACCATATGAGTTCCTAATGAACCATGTAAAGTTAGAGTGCAAATCTCTCCAAGTATATGAAGTCTCTCCCAAATCTATCCAAGAATATGAAATCTCACCCAAATCTCTCCAAGTATATCAAATCTCTCCAAGTATATCGAATCTCTCCCAAATCTCTCCAAGTATGTGAAATTTCTCCCAAATCTCTCCAAATATGTGAAATCTCTCCAAGTATATCGAAGCCCTCCTAAATCTCTCCAAGTATGTGGAATCTCTCCCAAATCTCTCCAAGTATGTGAAATCTCTCCCAAATCTCTCCAAGTATGTGAAATCTCTCCCATACGTGAAATCTCTCCAAGTATGTGAAATCTCTCCCAAATCTCTCCAAGAATATGAAATCTCTCCAAGTATGTAGAATCTCTCCCGAATCTCTCGACGTACCTTCCTCAGTCGAAAACAGCCTAAAAACGGAGGAGAAAACCCAAAAGGACCCTCTTGGTCCGGAACCCTCTTGGTCCTGAACCTCTTGGCCGGAATCCTCTTGGTCCGAAACCCTCTTGGTCCTGAACCTCTTGGTCCGGAACCCTCTTGGCCGGAACACCCTAGTCACTCCGGAACTCCTCTTGCTTCGGACAATCTCGCAAGTCCGGAAGGGTGACTCGGGAAAAAGCCTCACTCCGGAAGACCTCGCTTAGGGCTTGCTTCAGATATGCTAGACAGCTTCGCACCTTCGGTCCGGACTAATGACTGCGCTCCGGACTTCGCTTGCAGCTTCTGATCTCGCACCTGACTCCGGATCCGAGAAGAGCACTCCGGACCTCGCCTATTGATTTCGGAATCCGAGAATACACTCCGGAATGTGATGAATGGCTCCGGAACTCCTCCTAAACACTTCGGACCCTCGCAGGAACCACCCTCCACTCCGGATTTTTGACTATTTCGGACCTTTTCTCTATTTTGGGGTATTTTGGCGTCGGGAATCCCGCCAAACTCGTATTTTTCGTAACTTAGACCCCTTAGACCCCCATTTTATGTCAAAATTGATTATTTTAAATATAATTATATAAAATAATACCCAAGGTTTTTATGAAGGGATTCTAAGAGGATACGGAGTTTGACTTGATGTAAATTCTTCATTTCCCATGCAAATCCCAATAATCTATGCATTAACCCTTAGTGATAGACATTACCCACTAGTACTCCAAGCAAATGTCAAATCACTCCTTATCTTCCCTTATTGAAAACATGAACTACTCTCTCACTTCTCATATCCATATTCAGTAAACTCCTAAGAACACTCTCATTTTCTCTTAAATACTCCTCACAAGAGCAAAGTTAAGGATCTTGCTGGAAGCAAAATTCTCAAATCTTCCCTGGAGTTTTTCTAAAGTAAGTTCTCCGCTCATCTTAGATTTTATATAATCTTCAAGATGAATCTATATTATGTTACTCATAATAATATGTGATAATCAACCTTAGGACAACATTCTTCCTAGAGGAGTTCCTCATCTCAGCCAAAAGTTTAAGCTTGAGATCTTCACTCCATAACTCCAAACAACTCCTCAACTAACTCAAGGTGAGCTTCATACCCCACTTTTTTTTCTAAGTTTTTATTGTTTTTGGAGGAGAATACAAGTCAAATCTGTTGGATATAGTGTCTAAGTCCATAACTATATTTGGTATGTACTTGACCCAAACCGGCATGGTCCATGTGGGTTGCACTTCACCCGAACAATTTATGGATAATCGTTTGAGAATAGTATAAGTTATGATTTATTAATATATTATAAGTCCTAATATATTAATATAAAATCATATTATTTAATTAGGATTGATCTATAATTAATTTAGAATTAATTTAGAGATCAAAAGTATGACTAATTAAATATGGGCTCTTGTATTTATATAGTGTGGGCTAATGCTTATTTGGAATGGGCTAGGCTTGCATGGAAAGTCCATGGATACTCCATGGAGCTTTAACCCATGGATCTCATGAAAATGAAAAGACATGAGTATTAGGGTTTACATGGATGTAACCCTAATCCACCACACTATATAAAGGAGGCTTTGGTTCTTGAAATTACACTAGTTGATGTGTGTAAACTAAGAGGGCCGATTTCAAGAAGTTTATGACTATTCTCTCAAGTTTCCAAGTTTGTGGTGATTTGTGACTTCCATTTGATGCATCCACATTATTGGTGCTAGGCACTCAAACTCCAAGCAATCAACTACTACTACAATGTAAGTAATTCTACTAGTTTTATTTGATTCAAGTACCCCATGTCATGCTAGTTAGGATAAGAACCTTGGAAAAATAATTATTTGCATGTATCTTAGTCAAACATAGATCCAAGGTTTCTAGGGTTGCATGTACACCATAGGAGTGTTAGAATGCTCAAAACCCATCAGTGGTATCAGAGCCTGGTTTGTTTATTTGATACTTGATGCAAAAAAAAAAAAAAACATTTTTGTCTATATGCAGGATATCAAGACAATGTCGGACTTGCAAGTAATCCTTTTCAAGAACATTATCATCATAATGTTGCAACATAATCCTTTTCAAGAACATTCTCATCAAAATGTTGCAACATATTAGACACATTATTATGATTATCATTCCAATCATTTCCGTCATTAATTTGTGATAAATTTGTGTTAAGATCTAGTAATATCTCACCAGGTCGTGACCAACACGTATAATTACTCATAAACCCACGAGTAATCAGATGTTCTTCTATTTTTGTAGAATCAGTGTACATATGATAATTTTGAAACTCGATACACAAACAACATATGTAACCTTCTCCCTTTTTCACCCAATTTTCCTCTACAACTTTTAGAAAATCAGCAAAGCATGCCAAGTATCTAGCATCTGAACGTTTCATCCCGTAATCCCAATAACTATGATCCATCTATAATTTAAAATATATATAATTTTAATAGAATCACTATACAGGAGAAAGTATTAATATAATGACTATATGAGACAAATTATTTAAAAAGCAATCTTAAAATGAAGAATCTTGAAAATTAAACTCTATTACATTAATTTTGGATATGTATACATCTAAAAGCATATGCAATGTAATAAATAAATTACTAAATGGATATTGCAAATATATGATGGATTTCCTGAAAAGTGATAAAAAAATATACTTACATACACGATTTAGATCAAACAATTAAGTACCATCAATTTACTTCAATTCAGTCAATTTTTAAATTAAGTACCTTCCAAATACATCAATTTGAAAGTGATTGGAAAATGACAATCACGTTTTTCAGAATTTCAAGTGCTATTATACTCCAAATTTTTAACAAAATTATTTATAAATAACATTTTAATAAACAATAAAAAAAAACAATGCAAACAATACAACAAAATATGTGACACGTATCACATATCATGATATCATATAAATAATTTAATATTTAAAAATATTAAAATTTATTTTATTCATTTTATAATGGTTAGATATAATTTATTCTAATTAGTTTATCTCTTTCATGTTGATTTTTCATTCTCGTCTGTATACCCTCGAAAATCCAAATCCACATACTTCTTAATCTGGTCTGATAGTGAAGGGGTACGAATTAGTTTTGGAGATGGGAAAATGTCATATTAGCCCAACAAACTTTTCACATTTGTTCTAAAAGGTCACTTATTTTATTTTTTTTGGTACATTAAGGGAATAAAGTTCAATTTATCTTGCTAATTTGGTCACTTTACTTAGAATAGACGGTTGTAGTGCCATGTGTGTTTCATCCAACATGTTTCATTTTTTAACTTTGAATTTTTAGAAAGTTTTGACCTTTAAAGTCGAGAGAGAATATGATTTATGAGATCCTTATGAGATTCAAAAGCCGCCTGTGATGAAGATTCAAGAGGGGAATCAGCGATAGATAGGAAATGTCCTCTAGGTGGAAAACGGCAAGCGGCAACTCTGTTATTCCGTGTGGTGGATACTCCCCAATGATGAGAAACGGGAATGGGAACCACATCGTTGGTGGGAATCGGCTTGGGAAGGTGTAACGCCTGCAGATTCGGGCTAGGCAATTTAGAGACAATAACCGTAAAAAAATGACTTTTTAATGAAAGATTATTTAGAATGAATAATCTTAACCATGTTATAGTATATGTCATAAGGATTCTGTACATATAAAAAACGCCGAAATCCGAGTTATAACAAAGAAGTTATGACATGTCGAAGTTTTACGGCTAAACTGACATGGCACCGCGTAACGTAAAAAATGAATTTTTAATAAAATACTTTTTAGCCTTAGCGGTGTAAACAAAAGTCGTAGTATACGTTAAACGTAGAGCGTGCATAAAAAGAACGTCTAAATCTGACTTTGTATGAAGAAATTACGATTTTTCTAAGATTTAGCATAACAGTGCACAACCCGGAATTCGAATTTTAGATCGGACGATTTTTAGCCAAAATAATCTAAATGAGAAATGAAGATATCGTTAATAGGAGTTCAACGATAAAAAAACAGTCGAAAACGGAGCTCGTATGCAAAAGATATTGACGAAACTTAGTCCTTACTCTTCGAGCGCGATAAAATTCGATACAGTTTTGTAAATCGGAGATAGAATGAGAATTAGCCGACGGGGTCTAAATAAAAGTTGTATTACTCGTAAATTCCAACGTGTGGATATAAAGAACGTCAAAACGGAGTTCGTATGAACGAGTTATAATTTTTTATAGCATATTTACGTATTAAAATAAAATATAAATTATATATATATATATATATATATATATATATATATATATATATATATATATATACATACATACATATGTATATATCATTAGAAAGGTATCAACGATGCGGTCATTATAAGACTAGTGTGGAGTGCTTTCGACATTAGTTTAGTACAAATATCGTTAAATCTATTTAAAATAGTATTATAAAGGGTTGTTTAGTTGCTTATATAACTATAAGGTCATTAAGTAACTATGAGGGTAGTTTTTGAAAATTCAATTACTATAAGCTCTCATATTTCTTGCACCATTCTCTTGATTCAAGATTCTTTCTCTTCTTATCCCCCAGCATTTCGGTCCCTCGTGATTCGACTTCTCTTTCTGTAGTTTTAGTATAGTAAGGTGAGCGCTGAAGCGCTGCAAGAATCTTTCTTAGAAAGATTTAACGACGAAGTTCTGCCTCTGCAGATCCCGACTCCTTGCTAAAACCTCATTGTAAGTAAGTTGTGCTTACCCTACTTTAAGTATAGCTTATAATTAATATTAGTATTTTTATTATGAACTTATAATAAATATTTGGGCTATTATTATGACTTATATAAGTGTCGTTATAATATCTTTTAGCTACTCACAATACGGGGAATCCGGTTTGGAGGGCCACATGGGTTGTTGGATTTCAGAAGTGCTTTAATGCCAAAATGGTCATGCCCTCTGGTGTTTTAATGTCTGGCCCTGTCTGTACATAGTAGTTAGGAAGTATTGTTTAACGCTTATATAATAATAATACTACTAAGACTAATAGATAGTCACGATGAACATCAGACTAAAATTTAGTGGTAATAATACTAGGTTTCGTTGAAGGAAATTATTTTAAGAAGCGAAGCGCTGTGTAAGTTCAGAATCACCACCCTAACAGGTGAGTGCGTAGTTACTTTCATCTTATACATAGATATGAAATATTTTATATAAATTACGTGCTATGTGTGCATATTATCTGTATACTTGCTATCTATGATGTATGAACAATTTTATACATGTTTTAAATGATTTAAATTGTATATGTATTTATATCTAAAAAATATGTTGGGTAAAACATGGGTAGATGAATGATGAGGGATGAAATTTGATATAGAGGAACATTGGCAGTATGGACATAGTGCCCTATAGGTGAACATTGGCAGCAATGGACTTAGTACCCTATACGTGAGCATTGGCAGCTGCGCCACAACCTGTAGATGTTTTGATCTACGATGTACTCTAAACATTCTAGCAACTGCGCTCTAAGGATAGTATCGGCAGCTGTGCCTAATAGAGAACATCATAACACTGGCAGCTGCGCCCAAAGGACAATATCGGCAGTTGTGCCTAATAGAGAATGTCACAATTCTAGCAGCTGTGCCCAAATGATAATATTGGCAACTGTGCTTAATAGATAACATTGACAGTTGTGTCATTGGCAACGATGAACTTCGTGTCTATTCCTTAGGACAATCCTTAGGAATAAATGAGTGAATGATAGATGATTCTTAGGGCAGATCCTTAAGAAATAAAGAAGATAATGGAGATGGGTAATTGGGTTGGTTGTTTGATGTTTAAACATAATAACTATATCATTGTGGGTTGAAAACCCTATGTACTCACCAGGTTTCCCAACCTGACCCACTCAAGTTTATTTGTATCATAGGTGTCGATATGAAGCTACTTTACACTGAGAGATTAAAGGAGATGTATATCACTAGTGTAAAAGAATGTAAGTTCTGTTTATGCTTATGTTTCTGTATTGACGATGACATCCCAATGTTTTAATATAAACAAAAATAAATTTATTTGGAAATGCTTTGATAAAACCTTTATCATGTTTTCTGGGAACAAAATTCCGCAACATTGTTCTTTAAAAATGATACTCTGATTTTAAACTAAGCATAAATAAAATTTTTAAAATGACCGTGAATTTGGGGATGTCACAGAACGTGAAAGTGGAATGGGAATCACAACTTCAGGCTTCAGGTTTCTCCTTTGAAATTAGCTTCATCATTGTCGGATCACCATTGGTTCTCCTTCACATTTCACGCCACTGTGTCAGACGCAACCACCTCCACCCACCCTCTCCATCACCTCTATTCTTCGAATATGGAAATTTCAATAAGATTCATGAGAACCTATGGTCATCGTTCTCTTTTGTTCACATTCTTGACCTGTGTGGGGAAGAGGGAAAACCTATAGCAATTTCTCTTTCTCCACATTCTTAGAACCTCAAAATGGTTGTCAATTGTGTTATTAACCATATATCTGCATGTGAGGTTCTAGACAAGAAGATGAAACCATGGAGTTGGGTTGAGAGGGGATGAGTTCTTGAACTTGAAGGGCATTGCATATATTTTTTTTCTTGATTCCATGTAGTTACTGCATCCATGATCGATTATGTGTATATGTAAGTTTTGTTGATTTTGGTCAATTGCGTGAAGATATGTCAATTACAACCGTCGAAGAGGGAGGAGTAGAAGGCATCATCAACTTGGGTTTTCAGTGGACATGAAGGTAGCTAGTGGTGATTGATATAGGGCTTAGAACAGGAAATAAAAACGATATGGAGAATGTGGGGATGAAAGCTAGGTAAAGGGGAGTTTCGTGATGTGCTTAATTCTGGAAAAAAAATTCCATGTGGCACCCATATTACCTATTAAAACTGGTATCAGGTCATACAAGGACATTTTAAAACGGTTAAATATGATTTTATTCCCATAATGTACAAAAAAGAATTTAAATGACCATTTAAAACAAACATGACAAGTTCGTTGGGCTAATATGGGAGATTAGAGCATTGTTATTTTTCAACAAGACATAATAGGGTTCCAAGACTCTTAAGGTAAATATATTGAAGGGTTGATTGAAAAAATAGCAAAGTTGTTTCGTTTTACTTGTTTTTTTATAAATTTATAGCACCATACTTTCATTTGGTCATGTTACAACAAAGAACTTTAAAAAAGTTGTGCAATAATAGCAATGCTAACCAAATAAAAAAGCAAATTTTATTGTTTTAATTGATTAGAGCTTTTTTCGTTAATCATCTTCTGGTTCATATTTTATTTGCAATTATTGATATATGTACTTAATTGTAGGCTCAAGTTGAATAGGACACTCACTTTTCTTGCTATCACTACTAGCTCTCATTCTTTCTATATCTTCACTTTATCAGACTGCGTTGAAAATGAAAAGGTAAATAATTTTGGTTAATTCATTTGCTACTAATTTGTTTGAGTAATAAATTTTATGCTTTTTATTAAATTCCCAAAGTTATATTATTTGTTTGAATTATTTAGCATAAAAAGTGAATATAACTTTACTGCATTACAAGTTACAAACTATCAGAAAGACCAACTTGTGTGGACTTTTCCACCATTTGGTGGTTGCTAATTGGACTTTTCCACAAGTTACAAACTATCAGAAAGACCAAATTTACTGCAATACAAGTTACAAACTATTAGAAAGACTAACTCTTGGGTATTGCAAGACCACATCTTACAGGATAGCAGTATACATGGTATGGATTCTGATTATTCTTGTGCCTTAGCTACTCTTCGTAACAAACTTCCAAACATTAACCTTAGCAGTTTAAATCCTAAGGAACCCCAGATGACGAGATATATCCAGTCTGCCGCAAGACATGTTTAGACTTTTTTGGAGAGCATGCACTTCATTGCAAAGAATTCATGGGTTTCAAATACAGGAACGATATGGTTAGAGATGTTTTGGTTGACATATTTAAGTATGCCGGGTTTTCTGCCAAGAAAGAGGCTCCTGTGAATTTCTTGACTAACCCGACAGAAGGAAGGTCAACCTTTAGACCGGCTGTGGTTTTGATTTTTGGATGGTAGGAGGGAAAAATGCATTTGTATACCTTACAGGGTATCACCTCTCGTAGGCTTGAGGGCTGGGGGTTTCACGGTGGGACAAGCTGCATTAAAAGTTGCTACATGAAAGGTCACAAAACATGAGAAATTGTGCATGGAAAATCAACACGTGTTCATACCATTTGCATTTGATACGTTTGGTTTCCTTGCACCGGATGCGGCGGAGCTTCTTAATAGAGTACAACGGATCATGCATAACAATGTATATCTCCTAGATCTATGGATGTAGTCTTTCAAAGAATTGGCTTTACCATACAAAAAAACATAGTGGCGCAACTTGTTGCCCGTTTTCCTTCTTATTCGTTGTACGTTGATAACTAAGTTTTATTAAATAAAAAAAAAATTTGAAGTGTTTGAATATTGTTTCTCTAAATAGCATTAAGTAGATTTCTTTAGGATTTCAAACACATATGCATTATAATTACTTTATTATAATAAAATCTTTTCAGGGATTTGTGAACTTCTTTAATATTTTTTTAAACTTTTTCAACAGGCTCTTCCATCAATTTACATTCTAAATCTCAGGGGCCATTTGGGTCACTAGACCAAAGTCTTTGATTATTTGGACCTAAACTCGTTCGTTTTGATGTTTCTGGAACCATTACAAAACCTTGTCTTCTTGTATTTCATATCACATTTTGTATACATACATCATATTGTTGTAATATTTTTGTAAACGGGTTATGTGATGTGTTGGAGGTTTGCTAATTATGTCAAATAGAGTTTATGTGCAATGTATTATGTACTTAAAATATTATATAAATTTTAGAATAATACAAATGTTGCTTAAAAATGATAAAAATTGTTACCTTACTTGTGTAGATTATTAGATCAAGCTAGAAAAGTGTATATTGTTGTTCAATTGATTTCTTCCAGCAATCCTGTTATATACAAGAATAGAAATATTTTAACAAAACTACTCAATCTCAGCAGTTAAATGCAAACTTATAAAATAAATATGTAACATAAATAAAAGAGCAATCACAATACCGTTGGAAAGTGAAGTTGAAAGTGATGGTAAATCGATAATGTGAAAACAATCTCAGCTTAAACCATCTAGACCGTCTAGGACCGAATACAGCCACCCAGGACTGACTCCGCCTAACTCGCCCGACTAGCATTAATCATAGATAGTAAGAGGCCGCCTATTATACTCCATAACATATAACATTTCAATGCATGCACCACAAATGCTACCCCACCCAAACCCCCTCTCATTCACACATACAAAAGAAAAAAAAAAAAAAACAATGATAAATATACAAGATATCATTTCTATAGCATATAACACATACAAACAAATATAAAATACAAAAAATAAATAAGCTTTAGGGAAAGGGTGTTGCTAATAAGACACCTCTTAGACACCTTATTATCATTTTTATAAAAAGTCAACCTATAATCAACTACTCATAATCATATTTCTCGGAAAAAATTGCAATTTAAACCAATAAAAATATTTTAAAAATTAATTAGGGTGTCTATATGGTAAAATGGGGTGTCTTTTTAGCCAACCCCTTAGGGGAAAGGTGCAAGCTTTAGGGAAAAGGCGCAAGGTGGATTTGTCAGACAATACAATCGTTCCCCAAGATTGCTATCTTATAGCCTTTCCCCTATGTTACCATCTAATCCAACCCCTTTCCCCTATGTTACCATCTAATCCAATGGAGGATATTACATCTTAGCATTAACATGATGAATCAAAAGATGGATTCTAAACCAACAAAGATTTCACACGGATCATTGGTGGGTTTTACCTACTTTAAAACCAGAAGACCAATAACCATTTCTTTACTCCTCATCTTCTCTCTTATATCTCTTTCTCCCTCTATTTTTCCCAAAAGTAGCTTCACCCCTCTATCTTTTTTTTGGATTATGATCTACATTGGTCTTTCTCCTAATGCTATATTTTCAATAATATAGATGAAGTCGGGTAATGGTTTGTTTGCACCTCTTTATCTCTTTCAAAGGTCTATCATCCCCTTGAAAAATCAAAGATTATCAACATGATTGCACATTGCTTCAATAAATAAAAAATCTTTTGTATCATTTTTATTTTACACATGTAAAATGATAAAATTAACTTTTCAACAAATTATTACAAGATTTTAAAACCATACACATGATATTCTCAGCAAATGTAAATGATACAAATGAACTTTTCAACAGAAGTAACTTTTAAACAAAATGAACTTTTAAACAAATGAATTTGTCATATAACTTTTTACTAAATGAACTTTTCAACAGATGTATAATGATACAAATAATTTTTTTTAACAATTGAACTATTAAACATATAAATAATTTTTTTCGAAATCTATAAGAATAAAAAAGAAAGAATCAAAATAAACTTTTGAAGAAATCTAATACTAATGTTACAGATAGCTTTTAAAAAAATGAACTTTTCAACAATAACTTTTCAACAAATGAATTTTTCAATAGATGTAAAAGGATACAAATGAAATTTTTTAACAAATGAACTTTTGAACATATATATATATATATATATATATATATATATATATATATATATATATTATATATATATATATATATATATATGGCTGTTATGTACCAAATATTAGGTATAGAACCATCAAAAAAATACATAGTTTTACCAAAATACAATCAAATCTATCTACCATCCTTCTTGTATTCTCTATAAGACTAGATGATAAGCTTTGTACATATTTTTATGGAGTTTTAAATATTTAATTTTGCACCACAAACCATGTACAAGAATACATTATCAACTACGTATAAGTCTTCATATTCAAATTTAGTATAGAAAACTATAGTGAAAGATTGAAATTGTTCATTAAAATCCCAATAAATTTCTTCCCATAACACATCAAAAAGAACCATACAAGTATACATATGGTAGGTTTCAAAGAAAGTTATCAAGCCTACTAGAGGTCTAATATAAACAACACATTCGAAATGCATAGATGTAGGGGATAAATTATGAAATCGAAAATAATATAAGCTCAAAAGCAATAGAAAGAAGCTAACAAGGAAAAAAATGTGTTTTTTAATCAAAATGAAGTCAATTATGATGGTTCTATACCTAATATTACATACATGACAGCCACATATTCACTTTTCATATATATATTATATATATATATATATATATATATATATATATATATATATTTGCAATCTATAAGTAAAAAAAAAACTCCAAATAAACTATTAGAGTAATCCAATAGTAATTTTATAGATTAATCAAGAGGTTATCATTAAAATAAAACGGTCGATTAAACACTACTTCACATAAATCTTGATGTATCTAAACTGGAACATGCAAATGATCTCTAGCCTAGCTGGATTGATGC